TAGATCTCTTATGATGACACATGTGCTTGCTTGAAAGGAAAGAAATTCCATTTTTCTTCATGTAAAGGAAAGGCTACGACTTAGTATGCATTAGAGCAAAACTACTTAAAAACTCACGGCTTTTAATACCTAAGTGTGATTAATTCCACAATTAACCACTAACTTTATGTTTAATTGCTAATTAAACATACGACTTAATTACCAAAATTATTTCGAACGTAAACGGTACGTCGAAAATAGATTTCGGTAATTCCGACTGAACTTAATTAATTCCGAAAATAATAAACAATAATATTATTATATTGGAACTAAACGTAATTTATACCGATTAAAATATCGGGATATTACACCTTTAGCCTAGCAATCTCCAGCAACTGTGCATCAATGGGAATAAATTGTTGATTAAAGATCCTACCGTTTCGCCAAGTCCATAAACGCCAAACCACGAAAGAAAAAACGCTATTCCACTACGAAGAAGGCCCTAGTTGCAAGGTAACTAAGTTATTCGTAAGCCAGCTTTTGAGAGGCGCCGAGAAGAATTATTGAGCTTGATCAACAGGCACCAATCGCAGCCAGAGGGATTTAGCTGCCCGGAAGTCTCGCAAAACATGAATTTCCGACTCCTCGCCCCCACACACATCACAGTCCAAAGTTGGAGAGATATGGCGATGGGTCCGTTCCATATTGGTTAGCAAACGCCCCTTCGCGACGAGCCAAAGAAAAGTGCGAACTCGCTGAGGGGCCGGAGCTCGCCAGATCAGATTCCACAATGCCTTATCGGGGTCCCGAACCTGCTGAAACAAGGACTTGTAAGCGGTCGACGTTGAGAATTTCCCATCCTGAGAATGGGCCCACACCATCCGGTCAGCTCTGGCGTCGTCTCGCGGTGGGAGAATACCAGCGATTCTCAAGATCACCGACGACGGAAGAATGCCGTGGAACTCTTTCCACCTCCATCGCCCAAAATCATCTACATAATCCGCAACTTTCACCTCACAGTTAATAATCGAAGGTTTCGGAGATTAAAAAGCTGAGCAACGGGCCCTCGGACCCCAGCCACGGGTCCACCCAAAATCGGGCTGTCTTCCTGTCACCAAGGACCCAACGCACACTCCTAAGCAATTCCGGCCACAAGCTACGAAGATCACGCGCCAGCCCTGAGCCACTCCTACCCGGGAAGCGCAACCGTTAATTCGAAGGGGTCAGTCCATACTTTGCCACAAGTGTACGGACCCATAATGCATTACTGTTTATTAGAATCCCCCAACCTAGCTTCATCAAAAAGGCTGTATTCATACCACGTAAATTCTTGATGCCTAGGCCTCCCTCGTCTTTGGGTTTGCACATCTCACTCCACGAGACCAGATGCACCTTTCTTTTGGTATCCGAGCCGCCCCACACGAAGGCTCGACTTCTCCGCTCAAGGTCGTCCGTTATAGCACACGGGAGCATTTTCGATTGCATTGAGTAGAACGGTAGCGTGCTTAGGGCGGACTGGGTAAGAGTCACATGACCTGCCAGCGACAAGGATTTCATGCGCCATCCGGTCAACCGCGCCTCCGTTTTTTCTACTATGTGCGAGTACGTGCTATCCACCACTCGGCCATGAATAAGGGGCACACCAAGGTATTTGCCCAAATCAGACGTTGCCCTGAAGTGCATCTAGTCCGCCAAACGGTGCTGAAGCTCAACATCCACATTACTGGAGAAAAAGACTAACGTTTTGGCCTCACTAACCTTGAGCCCCGAGTAGTAGCAGAAGTGATTAAGCACTTGCGTAAGGGTAGACACCTGGTCTTCTGATGCTTCCAAGAACAATAGCAGATCGTCGGCGAACATAAGGAAAGGGACTTGCACAGACCCGCGCCCCACAGAATTGGACGCCACGTATGTTCGTCTATCGCCTTGCAGATGAGTTGCGCCAGCCTCTCCATGCACAAAACAAAGAGATATGGGGAGATAGGGTCACCCTGCCGGACCCCTCTAGTAGGAAAGAACTCTTCACCGCTCGTTCCGTTCCAAAGTAAATTCATCGAGGCCGAGCTGATACTAGCCATAATTGCCTGTACTAGACGGTTAGGGTAACCGACTTGTCGCAATGTTTCCTCAATGAAATCCCAACGCAAGTAGTCATAGGCCTTCTCGAGGTCAACTTTAATCACCATGTAACCTTTCACTCCTCGCATGCATCTCATGGAGATGTAGCTCAATGGTATTATCCTTCTTAATTAATCGGTTATTTTTCACTTAAGGTTTGATTGGTTGCAATAATAGATTAAGCATGATATAATCAAGAAGATTATATCAAAGACTATCCAACAATTCAATTAATTTATTATTTTGTTTGGTTTAAAGCTGATATTTATATCTTTTAAATTGAATTACTTTTGTATCCTTCAATTAAAATTAATTATTCAGAAATTAGGATTAGAAATTTGAGATCGAGAAATGAAATTTGAGATCTGGAAATCAATTCAATTAGCTTCATGGCGCATCAACTGCAAGTGAGCCCGACAAGAGAGTGTTGGCGGGGGCCGCCGTAGGCGGCGAATGAAGGAGGGTGCGAAAGAGGAAACACGGCAGGTCGGGGTCTGAGAGAGGAGACGCCATCAACAAGAAATGGGGTCGAATGAGCTGAAGTCGATGGGGTCTGGGGAGGCGTGCGGTGGGCCGACGACGACGAAGTGGAAGGCGACATCGTAGAGGGACTGAGGGAGGCACCAGCGGCAAGAGGTGGGGTCGAAGGAACAGAAGTCGATGGGGGTCTAGGAAGGTGTGCGGCTGGCCGGCGACGACGGAGGGGAAGGCGTCAGCGGACAGGGATGGGGTTGAAGGAGCAGAAGTCGATAGAGGTCGTGGAAGGAACTGTCTGAGGGGAAATCAGATGACAGGGATTGGTGGTGGTCGCCGCCGTGGGACAACTTGACGACGTGGATCTGGCGGAGGAAATGGTCAAGCAACAGAGAAGAGAAAAGGAAAAAAAGAAGATGGACAATAGAGGAAAATGAGAAATGATACACTATTATCTCCCAATTTGGTGGGATAAGTTAATAATATTTTAAGAGGTGTTTGTCCGGGTTGAGCTCAATTTTCAGAGCCTAAAAGTGCTCAACCAAACAACTTAATGTTCTTGATACGATAACAAATTGAGTGATATCAAGTTTAATCAATCCAACCAAACAGACTGTTCTAATTTCTCGAACCCATGTCATAAAATAACATTATAGATGATTTATTAATTTTACATATAGTAATAATAGATGATTTAAGTTTTGTACAATAATTAATTATTTTATAAAAACAATATGAATGTATAAAAAATAAGTCTTATTTTGAGTTTGGGTTAGGCCGACCGATCTAATACACACTCGCCAAAAAAAAAAAAAATCTTCTTTTGAAATGTCTTTGATAACACTAGAGCTATTAAATTAAACGAGCTGCTGGTGAGCTCAGATTGATCAACTCGTTAAGGGTTGAACTCACCTAAGATCGATTCGGCTTGTTTGATAATCGAGTCGAACTCGTGCTCATTTAAACCTTGTTTAGTTAACAAGCTTTGCTCGGCTGATCGGCTCGGCTCATTTGATAGACGAGTCGAGCTCGAGCTCATTTGAACCTTGTTCAATTAACAAATTTAGCTCAACTCGGCTCGACAAGACTTCAAAAGATTTATTTTATAATTCATATTGAATTTGACTAGTTAATATTTGAGTTCTACTCGTTAATATTGACAAAACGAGCCGAACTCGAGCTCGTGCTCGATTATAAACCTAAAATTTAACAAGCTGAGCTCGTCTCGGCTCAACTCGGTTCGCATACACCCCCATTATAATCTCTGCAAGACCCTTCTAGAATCCAAGGAACATTCTAAGATCATCCTCATCCTCTGCCCCTCTGCTTACAATACCATTCATCAGTCAATTGCTAGGTCACTCAGAAGGAGAAGAACAAAGATCGCGAAGATGATAGAAGTGGTTCTCAACGACCGCCTGGGCAAGAAGGTCCGAGTGAAGTGCAACGAGGACGACACCATCGGAGACCTCAAGAAGCTGGTCGCCGCACAGACCGGCACACGCGCCGACAAGATCAGGATCCAGAAGTGGTACACCATCTACAAGGACCACATCACCCTCAAGGATTACGAGGTCCACGACGGCATGGGCCTCGAGCTCTACTACAACTAGGTTCTTCGCTATTCCCCCAAGTAATTTCAATTTCGACCTAGTTTTTGTGTAATTCTGCTTTTTCTCTTAATCTATGTTCGATTGATTTGGGTAATTGGGAAAAATAGGATGATGTGGGCGCCCTTTGATTGTGCTTGATTCGTGATTGTGCTTGGATTGTGATGGTTTATTGCTGTTTTTGCAATACAGCTTTAATTTGAGACTTTTGTGTTCATGTTACTCTGCTCTCTCTTGATCTTGATCGATCTCTTTCTCTGTACAATTAATTTGACTGATTGGGAGAGGATGATAATGGGAACCCATTGATTGTGCTTGGTTTGTGATTTGGATTGTTTGGTTCTTTGAAGTCTGGTTTGTAGTTGTGTTTGATTATCGGCTAGTGTTCGTTTCGTTTGCTCTTTATTTCGGGGCACAAATTGAATTTAGGCTTTCTTCCAAAGTTGAGGTGTTTTTATGCCAATGATCAACCTAATCTATGGAGAACTAAGGTTTGCTTTTAATAGTTCATGTATGATTACAAGCTGATTGAGAGTGACACTATTTGTATTTGGAGCATGAAGAAAGTCTTTGTTCAAGTGGAAGTTTGCTTTGATATTTCCATAGATACTTGTTGTTTTTCGAGCAATCGAACGAGCTTCAAGTTCTGGTGGGCTTATAAGTGTTCAGACTTGTTTATAATGTGATTGTAGGATAATTAGATGGGAATATTCTATATTTTTCCCCAACTTTGGAGGGTTTGATAGATGGACCATCATTATATCTTCTACATTTCGTTAATCGACCTCAGTCGACTGTAATAATAGTGATTCTTTATTATCAACTAAATCCTTCACAAATCTACAATTATGACACTAAATTCTTATTCCCTTCATGAACCAAGCACTCACTGAAGTTGCAAACATCACACAATTTTGGCCATTGAACTTTTTTTTTTTCTTTTTTTTTTCCCACTGCATAGTTGCAGTTGCTTCATGCGGCTCGACTTGACCTTCATTTGTTGTAAAAGAATCAGATTTTTGTATCCAAAGTTGAAGAAATTGTCACTAAACTAGGATTATAGAGTGGAGTCTAGAATCAATAAAAACCCGTGTTCTGCACTTTAC